GGAAGTTCAGAAGCATCTGCAGAAGAGGGGTGGGAGCTGAGGGGAGGCCAAGGCTGGAGCGGGGGACAGGAAGGGAAACCTAAGCCCCCCTCCTCTGCACCCACAGAGGTGCCCCGGAATGACACGTGCCCGGAGCTGCCTGAGGTGGAGTTTGGGTGGCGCACAGCTTCGCACGCGGCCGCCATCCGGGGCACAGTGCTCACTTACCAGTGCGAGCCAGGGTATGACATCGTGGGCTCCGACATCCTCACTTGCCAGTGGGATCTGGCCTGGAGCAACAGCCCTCCCACCTGTCAGAAGAGTGAGTGACCCCAATCCCCAGCCCTGCCCCCCCCCAACCCTTAGTCCTTTGTATCTGCCTTTGGATCCCAGCGCTGACACCAACAGTGCAGCAAGGCATTCCACCACTGCATCCCATCTCTCCCACCAATGGCATGGCCTGGTATCCTTCTGTCTCTCCCATTCCTATCTCCCAACTTCTCTCCATGATTCACCTGCCACTGCCGTCCGCTCTGCTTTGTGCCTGGTATTCCACAGCAATCGCCAGTAAAACTGTCTGGTATTGCCACTGCTGATGGGGCATAGCCAGCCACCCCCCTGCGACCACAAATAGCACAGCAGGGCACCCCACTGCAGCCGCCAAGCCTTCAGCTGCTTCAGGCCTGGGCTTGGTACCAAGGTGCCTGAAAAGGGGGAGTCCACTCCCATTGCCAAGACTCATCTTAGGGTTCACCCTGTCAGTGGGGAGAGCCCATGCTATTGGAGCAGGAGGGAGGGACCTGCCCCTCTCTTCTCAGAAGCTCAGAATCAAGCTTCTCGGTTGGCTCTCACCACGGCATCAAAAAAGGATCCCTCCCTTACAAGGTCCCCTGCTGTGGCTGGTGGAGGAAGGTATCCCACCGCTGCCACCAGTTTAGTGCTTTACTCCATGGTAGCGGCTGACTTGGAGGAACTCTGTTATGTGCCTGGGTGTCTCATAACCTTTTGCTCCCCCTTCCAGTTGTGAACTGTGCTGACCCAGGGGAGATTGCCAATGGGAAGCGAAGTGTCTCAGACCGACGCTTTTCCATCGGCTCCCATGTCCAGTATTTCTGCCACGAGGGCTACGTGGTGGAGGGAAGCAGCACCCTGACCTGCTACAACCGTGACACAGGGACCCCCAAATGGAGTGATCGTGTTCCCAAGTGTGTCCCCTTCCAGTTGTGAACTGTGCTGACCCAGGGGAGATTGCCAATGGGAAGCGAAGTGTCTCAGACCGACGCTTTTCCATCGGCTCCCATGTCCAGTATTTCTGCCACGAGGGCTACGTGGTGGAGGGAAGCAGCACCCTGACCTGCTACAACCGTGACACAGGGACCCCCAAATGGAGTGATCGTGTTCCCAAGTGTGTCTGTGAGTCAGGCTGTTGCGGGGCTGTGCTGGCAGGGGCTGTGGGGCGGGAGTGGGGGGCATCGGTG